TACGAGAAGATGAAAAATTTACTTTATTTTAAGATAATAAACGAGATTTTTTTTAAAGTGATTTAAATAATGGACTTGAATCCATTTTCAAATTAAACTAATTAAATTAGTTAAATTTGTGCCCAATTTTAATGAAATTATTAAATTAAAGCAATTGATAAATATTTAATTTATGTTTTCTTTAAAGAGCAACCGCAAATTACATGATCATGAACATTCAATTTATTTATGCTAGTGTATAATTTATTCATAATTTCTTTTATTTTAAACTTGATTTAAGAACTCCTCCTTTAATCCCATTTTAGCTAATCGAAATAATTTAAGAATTATGGTATTCATATTAATTTATATGAAATATTAATTAGTACAATTTATTCAATACTTTTTGATGTGTTTTCTGCTTATCAATATAATTAAAAGTATCAAACATTCAGCCTAAATAATTTATAATTTGATCATTCTTTTTTTAATCCAAAAATTTACTCTTTCATTTATAATCATATATTCCTATCAATTACTATACAATTTAATTTTTATATATGATAGTTTTGATGGAATTTCAATGTGTTTCTTGGTTTCATTTTAATTTCTTAAATTTTATTCTATTTTATCTAAAGCTATTATAAATATTATTATTATTCTTTAGATTATTACTGTTATTACACTAATTATTATTCTAGTTATATATATTCTATTTAAAGTTGATTATTATTCAAGAAATCCTATTTAAAATAAATTATGTTGTCTATTGATCTAATACTTTATTTTACTATCCTTAAGGATATTATAGTCATTTATGGTTATTCTCAATATTTTTAAGGTTAATTGAGATCTTTAGGCGATTATTCAAGTATTCCTTAATTTTAAGTTTATCCTATTGGAGCAATCAATTGTTGTGTTTATCCAAAAATATTATTGGAAACATTGGTATTAAAGAATACTTAAGCATTTTAAATTGCGAAGCCCTATTATAATTATTAAAGGCTACGAATTTTATATTCTTAGAGTATTTGTAAACATCAAAAATTAAAATTATCAATAAAAAAACAAAAAAAATTTAGGCAAAAAATTAAGTTAAAATAAAAACAATGCTTTTATTACAAAAAGCTACTTAAAGACAAGCATAATAATTTTTTACTTTAGTGTTTCAATTGTTTGTGGATACAGAATTATTCAATTTTGTTAAGATAATCAATTTAAATTTAGCCTATATGGAAGAAATAATTACTTAAAAATGAGGATCAAATTTGACAGAACCATATTTAGATTTGGATTATGATTATGATTCAGTTTTATTTTCTTCTATTTCCATTTCTTATTATTCAATAATAACTTATTTATGATTACAATTTTGAATGTCCTTTAATCTCATAAATCCCTTTCTCCTATTTTTAGTTGATGATTTCGTTTCAGAATCCATTTTTGTTAACATCATATCTTCTAATTATAATTCTTCTTATTCATTCTATTTTTAATTATAATAATAAACTTTTATTTCTACTCCATCTCTATATGTTTTTCTTTATAATTTCCATGGATTTCCACAAAATTATGCTTCTAATCTAATCTCCAATTCATCTGAATCCAAATACATATTTCTAAGAGTTGGCTATATAATGGGCATTTATGGTAAACATGATTAAACTTCTAATTAAGGAAGAAATTTTTGGAAATTGACATCCCTTTTAAAATAAGTTACTTATCTAAATTCACAATTAATTTAATCTTGAAATTTCATTTAATAATTTTCACTGAAAGCTGCACAACATAAACTTTTTCTTGATATATGTAATTATCTATTTTTATAATTTTCATCATCCACTTATTTTTTTATTTTTTAAATTTTTGCCTAATGAGCCTTTACTTTTTACATATACAATTATTGATTTTATTCATCTATAAAGAATATTAATTGTCTTTAAATCTAAAATATTAATTTAAATAAATTTTTTACTTAAATATTTAATTCATTTTGATTCTTTTTAATACATGGAGCATAATAATTAGGAATTATAGAAAGATATTGCAAGAATTTCTATTCTGCAAATCTTCTTGCTTCATCTGTAGAATTTCCACATTGCATTAATAGTTCATAATAATTTAAAAAATTAGGAAAGTAACTAAAAATATTAATTAATAATAGATATAATACAATCGTAATTCCATTGTTGTTGAATTTTATTAAAATAAAAACAATCCAATTAAAAATTAAACTTATTATTCATCTCTTTTTTCAAAATAATATATTGGAAATTATAACATTTTACTTTTTGTTGTAGATATCCCTTAAACAAATTTCAATAATGAAGCATTTTCTATGAATATTTCTTAATAAGGTAATTATTAAGGTAATTTTGCTTAAAATGATACATTAAAATCAACAAAATAATCAGGATAAGCTGGATAATTCTTTTTAATAAATTAATTTATATACATTAAAATCTGAAAAGGGAAATTATTCAGGCAAATATACTTTTGTGAATATTGTCATATTTGGTTAACATTTTAAACGAACAGAAGCAAAAGATTAATTTGGCTTTTAAGTAGATCTTACTAAATAAGAAGGTTAACTTGATTATTGTTCAATTTTCGTTTTTTCAATATTTGATTAAAATTCATCAAGTTTATTTTATTAATCTAAAAGATTTAATTAAAGAGATATTTAAGGTGGAGTTAATTTTGGATCATCTAAGATTTAAAATAAAACATTATAATCTTGAATTTCGAAACACACTCCTTAACCTACAGAAGCAGCAAGGTGATGCCAATTTGTTTAAATAGTTATGGCATTAGTTTCTTCAATTCCAGGAGGTTGTAACAAAAAAACAAGGAGTCTATAGTCCCATCTAATCAATGAATGGAAAGCAGGTCCCATGTATTCTCTGTTGGTAAATACAAATATAATTGCTGATTCAATTTTTAAGACATCTCTACCCCCATAAAGATTATCAGTGCCTGTATTTAATTATATATATATATAACCATTTAAAGTTCTAAATTTGTTTAAATTGTGGAAACACTCATCTAAATTGAAGTTAGTTTCAAATTATGGTTGGATGGTTTTAAGTTTTTGTAAAAAATGGCATACATCATTAGTCCATGTTGAGATTGAAGAACTATACACAAATATGTAAAGAACAAAAAATTACTTTGACGAAAAAAGATGGTATTAATCATACTTATTTTCTGGATTCTTTGTTCTCTTTTTTACAAAATATTCAATTGCACTTTTAGCATAATCTAATGTAGTGAGTCCATTATAAGTTATTTAACAAGAAGATAAACAATTATCTATCATAAAAGTGAAATTCATTTATAAGTGATTTTAATTTAATATTTTATTTATTGACAATTAATCATAATAATTTACATGAAATAATCACTTTAATCAATATTATAGACTAAATCTTAATATGATTTCATCACTGGAATAATGGATAATGAATAAGAAGATATAAAATCAAAAACAAATTACAAAACTTAATTTAAATTTAATAAATCAAAACTTCATTTCTCAATTACTCCAAAATCATAACCATCTAAAGTCAAAAAAAGACCTATTTATTTAAGATTCAGCAATCATTCTTCATAATAATAAGAATAAAATAATTTAATTTTTCTAAAATCCCTTTTTAAAGATATCTAATAACCATAAATGTCTAAAACTAATTATTCAACATGGTCAACATCCCATAAATAAACTGTTTAATCTAACTTTATTCCACCTATTAAAAAGAATTATTTATTAATAAAAACACCAGATAATAATTAACCTGCAGTTGGATATTATAATCCTATGATGCCTAAAAAAGTTAGAGGATCTGTTAAATTGTTTTCTTAAAATATGTAATAACAATCTTAATCTTTAAATATTTTATTGAACTAAAATGAAAAATAAGAATCTCCAATACAAAAAGAAGAATTCATAAAAGTACCAGAAACTAAATTACAAGATTATTATGAAAATGAAAAAAAGAAATTAATGTCAAAATCTACATTTTAATTACCTCTAAAAGATTTAAATGCAAATCCTTTTACTAAATAATGGTCTATATTTTTGGCATATAAAAATAAATTTAAATTATTAAGAGATCATAAATATGAAGAATCACTTAAATGAATATATTTACTATAATTCAATCTTTTTTTTTATCTTATAATCCTTGGTCTATTTAAAGTAACTTTTAATACATTAACATAATATCATTCTCATTATATTTCTCTACCATAAAATTCTAAAATAAACTCTAAAATATCAAGATTTCATTTTATGTCATCTCATTTTCAATCTTTTTATTATCAAATACTTACATACATCTTACAAAATATCTTGTATTTAATCTTATGTCAATGATTCTAATTATTTTTATTTTTTTATTTGTTTAATCTTAATTAATATTATATCTAAGAATTCTAAAAATACTTTTATTGTTTATTAATATAAATCATCTGTAGTTGTAATAACCTTTTATTTATTAGGCTCTTCAGAACTTTAATCATCCTCTATTTTTAATGTATTTAATAATGATTCTGAGTGTAATAAATAATATTTTTCTAAAAGTTTTTCAATTACTAAAGTTTTAATTTATTATTTTGTAAATGTTTATTTCTATACTTTAATAAGAATTGAATCAATATGTATCTATTTAGCAACAGTTATATTATTAATTAATTATCCAGTTGGACCAATTACTAAAACCCATTAATTTTTTACAGGAATAGAAACCTTTTTAATTGTTTAGTTATCATAATTCATACTAATTATTGAATTAATATTGTAACTATATGCATAAAATTAAGTTAAATATATTGGTTTAGTAAAATAGATAAATCCATTTTAATCTAAAGTTCTTATATTAAAACTATCTGGAGGATATAATACATTAATTGATCCAAATTATTGATCAATAATATTATTTCTAGAAGGAATATAAAGTTCTTAAAATTTCATATATATTGTTGTGTTGAATTCTTACCAACTATTATTTTTATTATTCATTAAAATAACTGATCGATTTTTTGTGTCTATGTAATACTTTTACTAAATTCTTTATAATTCTTTTTTCTAATAAAACTAACTAAATTCAAATTTGAATGAAAGTAAATCTTCATTTTGATCATATATAACTATTTCTTAAAATAATTGATTAATATTTTTATTATAATATTAATGTATATTTTCTTCGGGCTCTAATTACTCCAACACTTATTAAGCCTATTTATTTATAATATATTACTTAAAGTTAAATATAATCTATAATTTCTTAATCTTATGTTGAAATAGAAGGTAATCTCTTATTACAAATTGAATCCAAACTTTTTGGACAATTAAAATATACTAAATATCTATCTTAAGACATTTTCATTCCTTTTTCCAAAATTTATATTCCTTCTTATATGAATTATGAATATGCATAATAAAAGAGAAATATTAACATTATGTTATTATTAATTTTATATTAATTTACAAAACATTTAGAATAAAGATAACTATAACTTTGATAATTGGATTCAGATTATAAAGTATTTTAATATGATGAAATATAATTAAACATATTCATTTCTATTAAAAAGATTATGACTACTAAGCCTTTAATATTTATAATTTAAATTTTATATTTTTAGATTATTCTTAACAATAAATTATTATTTTTATTTGAACGATGAATATTAAGGGTAGGTTAATATAATTAATGAAAGAGAAATTGTTAATCATTTTACATTAGTGCTAAATAAATATAAGATTATTTTAAATGAGTTTTTTTAGAGTGTTAGAGCAGATTAATAAGATTCCTTAAACTAATCAATTATTTTTATTTAATTAAGAACAAAATAAAAATAAAGTCTAATATATATAATATTATAAATTAATTATCTAATTTAAATGCTATCATTCTCATTTTAGTTATATCAATAATTAAATGAGCCTCTATCTTTGAAAATCAAAGAGTAAATAATAATTCCATTATTTTCTCTATTAGTTTTTCTTAAATAGTACTTAATAAAAATCATGAATAAATAAATATACTTAATTTATTATATCCATTTATTAACATAAGAACTACTAGAAATAAGAATTGATATTGATTTTAAAAGTGAATCTATTATTTTAAGAGATAAAATATAAAAAGTATTCAAATAACATTGATATAAAATATAAATCAATATACTTTTAACATATTACCATCAAATTATAATGTTGATACTCCATCCTATGTTAATATTGTATTGTTTTAAGTGTTTTACATTGAGATAATTGATTATGGTATATTATCACATTATATTTAAAATGCTTTAAATTATTCGATATTTATATACCAACACAAGTTATTTGAGATGGCAATAACATTTTATAAGTATTTAAAATAAAATACTCGATCACTATTTTTTAATTTCATTAATCTTTCAGTACATTAAAATTAAGCCTTAGTTATTGACTAAATTCTAATTTTATTATTATTAGAAGTTTTCTCTAATAACAACCAATATTCTCCAAAATCTAGCACTTAAGCTGCATAATATGTTGTTCTATACCCAACTTTTTTAAATAAATTTCTTTTTGGCATATATACAAAACAATCTCTGGATCCAACTTATCTTATTTCATTTGTAATTCCAAAACCAAAAAAATATAATTCTTCTCCATTTATCAAATATGTACATTCATTTACATTTTGTAAATCAAATATTGGAACTTACACTTCTTTAGTAACAACATGAGGTGATTATATATGTTAGCAATTCTGTTATATAATTTATAATTGATTATTATTATCAAATTCTTCTTATTCTTCTTCTGCAAATTTTTAAAAATTAACTAATTCTTCAAAAATTAAGGTTGAATGTTGTTGAAATTATTCATTTTGATTTTAGGATAATGTTATATAAAGCAAGAAATATTTGAATGTTTTTTAATTTAATTATTTAGCCAATAGAATTAATTATCCTTCATCATTTGATTATACACATAATACTTATAAATTAGTAGATAAAATATTCATGTACATTTTAAATACTTGTTGATATTAATAAATTGTGTTGTTTTAATACCCATATAAAGTTTACTGCTATTATTCTAATAATTATAATGGTTGTGATGTAAAGAATAATTCTTTTTAATTTAATTTTTAATATTTTCTAATAAATTATATTAATTAATAAGAATCATATCTTTATTCTTCATTCTCTTTTAGCATTTCTTCAAGTAATGGTTTTAAATTAGGGAATTAAAATTATTAAAGAGCCAAATTAATTTCCATCAAATAAAATTATTATTCTTTTGTATTTTTAATTTGATAATTAGATAGTAATCTTAAAAATATTAATCCTAAACTATAAATATTAGCTTTACTAGGATTAATAAAGATCTAATTTTATGTCAAATTTTAAGTAAAAGCTAAAAATGATTTAGGTTCCATATATTCTAATGAAGACATAAAGGGTACTGATTTTTCTTAATAAATGCTAGGAATATTGGTCTTATAAATAAGAGAAGCAAAAATAATTGAATTAGGTGTAATAAAAACATTATTTGGATGCATATCTTATACAAAGATATCATGAGATCTTAATTCATTTAATTTTTTAACACATCTTTTAATTAACTTAAAATTACAATCTTCTTTTTAAATTAGATCACAATTTTCTATAATATAATTTAATCTTAATTTTCCATCATATTATTCCATACTCAAAAAGAAATCCAATAAATATGGATCTAAATATTTACATACTTAATAACATTCATCAAATGATTCAAATTCAACATGTACAATTCTTTATATAAGTATATAATTCTATTATTCTTTTGAAACAGATAATATTCTAAATAATGATGGTGTTTGATTTGTAATAGGATAATGAACTTTGTTAATAGAATATAATCCAATTAATTCATCACTTGAATTTTATTTAGTACTTATTTATTTCAATTTTATTTTTTAATCTAATCTTCCATGTTCATATAAGACTTCAAATACATTAAATGATGTTATACACCATTTATCTTAAGATAAAAAGATTCTAAAAACATTTTAATCTTATAAATAAAGAATAAAATATTTATGATAAATTAAATTACATGATGATGTAATTCCATTTACATTTAATTTTACACTTTTTTTTTATTTTAAAGAATACAATATAAGTTCATTTTATTATGTAATGAAATAAACATCATTGAATTTATAAAATCCAAAATCAGATTTCACTTTAATATCTGTCTATATAGAATTATATTAGGTATTAATTAATAGACAACTATCTTAAATACCAATAATTAATAATTAATTTTAATTATTAGTAAGATATTTTAAATCATATTAGATTTCTATTTAATTTTCATCATTATATAAATATTAACCATCATAATAATGAACAGTATTATTAATAATAGTAAATGATTTTACATTTTAAGCTTATTTTAATGGTTTAACAATTTTCTTATATATAGGTAATTGTTATTTAGATCTAAAAGAAAATATTTATAGGAATTCATGAAAAGTCAAATTTTTATCAGAAAAAAATAAAACAATTTCTTATATCTTATCAAACAATAATTATTAAAGTAATGAATTATCAATTGAATCTGTTTATTATTATAAGAAATCATAGAATTATTAAGCTGTTATATAATTTCTTTATTCAGTATCAATAATACTAAATATTTCTTATAAATTTTAAGGAGTAAAATAAATTCTATCATGAAAATTTTTATTAGGTTATTTTTATGTTTGAGAAGTATCTCTAAATTTAAATTAATCTTCAATTTAAGTTGTAGGACTATGTTAATTGATTTATAATTGTAATTAATAATTTTTTTAAGCAGAATCAATTCTTTCTTTCTTTTATTATTCTTTTGTTGCCAAATATTATCTTAATGATATTTATAACATTTCTAAAGTATCTTCAAGTTATTCAGAACTAAGTTTAATAGTTATCATTCCAATCATATTTTCAAAAGCAAAATAAAATTTATTATCTTATATATAAGCAGTTCCATTAATAATATTAATTTATTATCCATTTTAATCAATTAATTCATATTATGTGTATGATTTTTAATTTCTAGTAGATATCAAATGATAAAAAACTACTTTATTATTACAGTATTCAAATAATACATTTTTTAAATTATTATTATTATTAATTGGAATATCTTAAATGAAATCTTTTAATTCAGGAGTAGTATTGCATTTCAAGAATTAAATATAATCAGATGCTTTAAGATCATATAGATATTATCTATTTCTATATAATAAAAGTATAATATCTTTTATGTAACATTCAATAACATTCTTCTATTTTTAATAAAGGGATTCAATTATATTTGCAAAATCAATATTCTTTTATTTTAATTATTATCTAATTTCAGAACCTTTATAAAAAGAATTAATTATAAGAATAGCAATATCTTCTAAATCATTAACAAGATTGGCTCTAAAATCTTTGATTTTATTTTTGATAAGTCTTCTAGAGAATCTGAAAGCGGAAAAACTCAAGTCTAATTTAAATACCTTTTATTTATGATAAATCATGTAAACATTGGATGGCTTAATTCTTAATTACAAATATGAATTACCCTGAATGAACATAGAAATTTTGATGCATATATTATATAGTATTTAAGAGATATTCCAATAATGGTTGAATATCTTCTGGTTACAATTATATATTCTCTAATGACACATCACAATATTCTTATTCAGAAAATACATAGAAATTATTGTGTTTCTTGTTTAATCTGAAACTGAAATCATGTATCTTATAGCTTCCAAATTATTAAAAAAACAAATAGTTGTCCAGTAGATTTGCCACTAATTCAATTTATTTTGTATACAAAATTCTAATTTTTCTAGATTCACCTATATTATTGGTAAATCCTACTACAATGCTATAATCATTTTTATTAATTAACCACACTCTAATAATATTATATTGAATATATTACTTAGTCCAATAAATATTTGATTATTCTAAATGAGATAAAAAGAATCTTAACATCTATATAACATCTGACATTAATTATTTATCCAACAATTAAATATCATTTAGAAATTTCTCAAGTATAAATTCTCTTTGTTTTAATAATTACTCTTATCCTTAGTTTTTACCTTAAACTTTAGGTTTCTTCTCTCTATCATCACCAGAAATTGACATTCTTGAAGTTGTTTACTTTCTTACTGGAACTCCATCTGAAGAAATGTTTGAAACTTATTTTGAAAGTGTGCTTAATTTAGTAATATTTTGTTCTCTAGAAGATGTACTTCTTTATTATTATTACTGGCTTTCTTATTTTTTTTCTATTTAATCTTCTCCATTTGTAATTTTAATTAAAGGAACTGTCTAATTCATTTTTGCATTAGCACAAGCTGCACCCATATATATAATAAATATTAATATAAATTATTAAAATATTATTATGAATACTGAAATTGCTTCTTTTTTTGATAATCCAGATGTTATGACAAAGACTCCACCACTTTGGCAAACTCTGAATTAAGATATATATGATGTAATTCTTATATCAATTTTTAGAATGATAACATTGTATTCCAATAAGATTGTTATAAGATTGCCAAAAAATCAAAATAATTGAGACCTATAACAATTCAACTTGGAAATGAACATATATATTGCATTAATAAAGATACAATGTTTTAACTATAAATTACTGTTGTTATGATGAATATAATTAAAAATGATTAACATGGTAACATTATTAGGTTATCACGAAATGGCAAGTATATTGACTTAAAACTTGAAGATTACACTATATTAAAGAATCTTTTAAATTATAGATGTTTATAATCTACATTCCATGATGAATTTGGAGTTACTAAAATGATTGGTAAAGGAAGTTTCGCTAAAGTGTATTTGGCGACAAAAAAATCTACTGGTATCAATTATGCAGTCAAAGCATTTAATAAAGAATTCATGTTAGAACAATTTAAAGGAAGAGAATCATTAGAAAATGAAATTAAAGTAATGAGAAGATTAAATCAAGAAAATCTAGTAAAACTGCATGAAGTATATGAAACATAAAATTCCATTTATTTTATATTGGATATTTTAAAAGGAGGTGAGTTATTATCTAGAGTTAAATCCTAACCATTATCTGCTCCTAATCTATAAAAATTAATGTATAATTTAATGAAAGCACTCTGTCATCTACATTCAAAAAAATGCATTCATCGAGATTTGAAACCAGAGAATCTATTATTAAAAGAAAAAGATAATGACACTGATGTTGTAATTGCAGATTTTGGATTAGCATGTTTTCTTAATGAAGATATTCTATTTAAAAGATGTGGAACTCCTGGATTTGTTGCTCCTGAAATATTAATATATAAAGAAGGAGATCCCTTTTATGATGAAAAATGTGATGTATTTAGTGCAGGTGTCATCTTTTATATACTCTTAACAGGTAGATAACCCTTCTAAGGAACAGATTATAAAGCTATACTTAGAGCAAATAAGAATTGTGAAATTAATTATAATCTAAAATAAATATAAACAGTAATTTCAATATTAATAATTATAGGCACCTTTATAATTAGTAGATTTATTAAAGAAGATGTTATATCCAGAACCTAAAGGAAGAGTATCATCTGAAGATTGTTTAAAACATCCATATTTTAAAGAAATTTTTAAGGAATAAGATTTAATTGATGTTTAAGAGAGTCTTAGAGAATATGAAAAAGATTTTGTATATGGATTAGGAAAGTAATAAGGGTAATTAATAATTATTCAATTAATAATAGACCTCCAAGTTAAGTTGGATCTATGTAATTATAATAGAGATAACCTGCTTTGAATGGAAGAATAGATACAATGGGATCATTTTCTAATGTATCTAATAATGGATCAGTAACTAGATTAGATTAGAAACCATAACCTTAATAAAGTAAATTTAGTTAATTCAGTTAATCTATGAAATAGTAACTCAATCAAGATGCAAGTATATAATAATATTTAAATATAGATTCACCTGTGGCTAAGAAAAGTAATTAATCAGATTTAAGAAAGACTGCTTTGAAAAATTCATTTTAATAATAAATTAATTAAATGAGTAAAGATGATGATTGTGTAAATGAGGAAGCATCTCATTTAGAAGATGCAATATCAAAACTTAATGCTTAAACACCAAAGATGGGATTAAAAAAAGCAAGTTCCTATAAGGTACAAAAATCAACAATGGAATGAGTTATATACTAAAATCATGAATCCCGTTTGCCTGAAAATATTCGATTTATCATCTTCATTTATTGTTTTGTTTATAAAAAGGAAATAGGTTGTTAACTAGTCAATTTAGTTTACTTTTATTTCTAAATAGTTTATTTTAATTCCAATTGTTAAATAAATTCTTATACATATTGTTATTTAGGGTTTTCAATATTAAAATTATTAATTGTATCTCTTTTGCTTTGACTACTTTATATTCTATAATTTTATTTAAAACCTTGACAAGAATTTCTATGATTAAAGATTTCAGGGAGTTTATTATTAATTTTTGATTAAGGACTTTAAGTAAATTAATTTATTTTCTATTCGTTTACAAATAAGAATTCATTTCTAAAACTAATCTATTAAGGATAACTTTATCTTTGATTAATATTGGAACTCAATATTCTATAATTGTTAATCTTTTTTATTTCACAATCTCTTAAAATTTCAGATCGTTTTCTTAATTCACTTATTTAAGGAGGAGTATGTAAACCAGAATGATCAGAACTTCTCTTTGAAATTGTTCTATAAATCCATAATCAAATTATAATATATTACAATTAAGTAGATGGATTAGAAACAGTATTCTTAGGTTTCAATATTCTTCTTGAATGAACAAATTTTTATTTATTTCCTAATTGATCTGGAGGATAGAAAAAATTAGCTGTTTATTCAGATTCATCTTTTATTGTTATTTTATTCATAAGTTCAATAGTTGATAATAATAATATATAAATAATCAAGTTTGAATATAGAATAATCATCAATAAATAATGCAACATTTACTTTCAATTATTTATTTATCATTTTATCCTTCTATTTTTTTGGATACATTTTTTCTTAATTAAACTTTTTATTCACCTTCTGCTAATACAAATTCTGCACATATCTATGGTATTTTCTCTTCATCCTTATCTTCTATTAATGATAAATAACCAGAACTAAAATAAGTACCTAATAATTCACTTGCATCTTTAATTGCTAATAATTCTTATTTATTTTTTTCTTTAATGTAGATATCATCTAATTGATTAATTATTTATTTTTTAATTTATAATTTTAAATTTAAGAAATCTCTTAAATAATTTTAATAACTTTTAGATATTTCAGGATTCTTAATTTCTTTTTATTTATTTTAATCTTATAAAACAATTACAAGAATTTATTTTATTAAAAATGTTAATTCATCTTAAGTATTACCAATTTAAATTAATGCAGTTGATCTTTAAACAATTTAAAGAGTTCTAATTTCAGCTTATAATGAATTTATAACTGATGATACTGTTTAACCTACTAATGGTACCATAGCTAATAATTCTATTCCAAAAGTAATTAAAATATCATCAGTTTTAATTTAAAATCTATTAACAAATCCACTTGCACGATCAAAAGTAGATTCAACACATTAAATAAATGTATCATAATAATCTTTAAATTATTAATCTTCTAATAATTATTCTACAGCTTTTTCAGCATGCATTTTCATTAATTAAGTTTTTGATAATACTTTTTTAATTTATTCTTCAATTTGTTTTGACAATTCTTATTATTATTTATTATTTAATTCTTTAACAAATAATAAAAATGTATTCTTAGTATCATTATCTAAATTATGTGTTCTTGTTTTTTTATAAAATGATTCAATATATTTTCCATTTCTATCATTTAATTTAGATTCCAAATATTCTAATTCTTTTGGTGTATAATCTGTAATTCTATATTATTTTGATTTATAATATTAATAAGCAGTATACAATACTTAAGCACCTTCTTTTTCTTTTGTAGTTCTTAATAATAATTCAGCTTTTATTAATTAAGCTTAGATATCACTTTATTCTATATCTGAATATGCATTAACAAATATCTCTGCATCTTATAATTCATCAAGTTATAGATAACAATATGCAATATCAATATTATTTTTATTACCTTTTGCAATTGATTTTTTGTATTCTTATATGGCAGCTAAATATAAACCTTATTCTTAAAGACATTAACCTCTACTTTGATATATATTTAATAATATTTAGACATTTGAATATTATAGAAATAATGTTGATTCTTTCATGCATCTCTCATATTATTAATCATAAATAAGAGCCATTAATAGATATTTAATGGCAGTTACATTTTCTTCTTAATCATTTTTGTCACATAAATCAAGATGAGATATAGCTTATTTATAATTTCCAAGTCTAAAGCAACATATCCCAGTATTTAAATGAAATTGATTTTGATGTTATTGTTGTGAAAGTATTTTGGATTCATTTTATTGGAGTAAAGCAAATGCCTATTCGAATTTTTATTGTTAGATGAGTTTATGACTTTCTACTAAGATAGGATCCATAATAAAAATAATATAACGATAGCAGTTTTAAAATTCAACTTTTAAATATATATATATATAATCAGACAATCATTTATTCGAAAGGAAACTTTGCTTTACAAGGTTTTCCTTTCATATTCTATTAAATTTTCATATAAATATTCACAAAAGATGTATATGTCTCTATAACAATAAGAGAAGCTAATGATGAAGATAATAATGCAATTTGACTCCAAGAAATATCTACTTTATTTTAGTAATTAAGTTAAGTCATTAATTCATCCCAATAACAAAAATTCAATACAATAGTAAATAACATAGAAGCTTCTGCAATAAATTACTTCAAAAATTAAAGAGATAAGCTTTTTTACTGACTAATTAAATATGACATATAAAATGTTTGAATTAATGACAACAATATAGATTGAACTATCTAACAAGATTAATAAAATACCAATATCATTATATAAGTTAATTTTTTAATAATGATAATAATATTTTATTTTCTATTTTTCTTTGTTTGAATTATTAATAAGGTTGTAAAAACAATTATCCATAATGATAAAAGTTTTCTGTATATATCACAATTAACACTCAATTAAATACAAGAAATGAAAAGTAAATCAAAACTATTAGAGTGAATGATAACTTGTAATCCTTATTTAGTAAAACTAAAATATAGTTTTGAAATTATTAATGTAAATGAGGAATATACTCTAAATTAGAATTGATATAATATAGGTATATTAATTTTATATAAATATTTAAGTAATTGCTTAAATATTAACTTTGATATAAACACAGTGGTTATAATGATAAGAAATAATTA